AAAAATTGTCCTCTGTACTTCCATATTTATCGTATATGATCCTTTAAATCAATCCCTTTCATTTCTTTATTCCTTATTCCTTATACATTAATCATATATTTCCTTTCATGTTCACATACTCTTGTCTTATTACTTATACTCATCTTTATGTACCAATCTTCATTGCATCCTCATTACTTTAATAACCCATTTCTTATACATAACTTCATTCTTTATCATTCTTATACTTGTATTTTTCTTCCTGAAGATTCCATGCAAACACTTATCTCAGTTTCTACATCATAGCTATCTGCTCAGAATATACAACCATATTCAAATTCACATCATAATCAATTAACTCAACTTTATCTTTTCCTTCAATCCTATTATTCTATCCCTTTTACTCTGACAGCTAGTCAATAATATATGTTCAATCTAGGGTACAAACCCTAATCAACCAAACACATACATCCTGTCAAATCGAAATTATCTTAAAAATTCACTTACTCAACTTATCAATTTCACCTCTATTCTCATACATCCTGAAATTTCTTTTGCTCAAACTCAACATTCTGACTTCCTGTGTCTTATAATCTGATCATCGATATACACATTCTCAAACTCTTCTTATCAATCCTCAGCTTTATTTAAAGATACCAATTCTTACTTCCTTTTCCTTTACTATACCTCATTATTATGACCCAAATATGCAACTGTATCCAGATCCATTGCAGATCTGGTTATCATATCCAGAAAATATCTTATAATCTTATAATTCCAGTACATTTTTATCGCATACTCTAGTTAGCCAACGCTAACTTTTCCGTCTTAACTGCAAATCCTTATCATATAAACGCTCTGGCTTATACACAATGTTATTCCTTCATTTCGAACTCATAAGCTCTGACATATACATCTTATACACTTGTCACTGATGCACTTATCCTTGAGTTCTTCTATATGTAATCATCACGTCATTAGATCTTTTTAACATTCTTATGGTGACACCCGTTCACCATATTCTATCTTATTCACATAATAGCAAAACTACTCTACATCGTTTTTCCGATTCCAAACGATGAAAATTTTCTATCATTATTCAGATATGATTTCAGCTTTCTGAAATCAACCTTTGATCTTACTAGGCATTTCCTGAGGTGTCCGCTCTTCATCCTGCCTGGCCAGGGCAAGTGAATAGCTATCACAATCAGGAATATCACCTTTCACTTACTTCGAAATTATCACGATCGAATTTCTACTGTGTTAAACTATTCTTATTTTATTAGCAAGACAACGTATTCCTTACACTATCAGATCAGAAATTTTTCAATCTATGTTGGCATGTACACCTTTTATGACCTTTTGGACTTCGGTTTATGCCGAGAATCGGCTAAACCATAGCTCTGATACCATTAAATGTAACACCCCCAACCCGTATCCGACCCGAATACGAGTCCGAAGTGTCACATTGACTTTTCAAACCTTGACTCTTCAGAAAAATCCCGGGAAATTTAAAATTTTATTTAAAACAAAATACAGACTTTATCAGAGTGCTCGTACTTAATGACTTATTACATGCCAACACTTTATACATAACCAAAAATACTTTATCAAATATTTCTGATCTGATCTTTTGGTAAGGAAAACTGACCTGTCTTGCTCCGCATCACTCCTTACTCTTCTCGAAACCTACGTGTGAAACAATCACACGCTAAGTCGAAGACTTAGTGAGGCATAACCACTTATAATGCACTTTAAAACATATATTGATACATGCATGTTCTGTTCTATCATATTATAGCAATTCCAGGCATTTTTCATATCGTATAGAATCATATCAGATTAATCGCAGTAAATTCATACATACACATAATTCATCATTCATATGTTATCATATAATCACATACTTTTCAATCAAACACTATACACACAACATCATATAATTTCTATAGCATTTATCCTATCACTAACTTATATTTGTTCATATCTCTGGATTAGCCCATGTACATATGTGAGAACTATCGATATGTGAGTCTATAGAGGTTGTGCACTATGCTGTCACCACAGCTCGTATAAATGCACCGAAGTGCCCCGTAGAATTGCACCGAAGTGCCCGTAGAATTGCACCGTAGTGCCCGTAGAATGATGTCCATAAGGACCACGTAGAATTCCTTAAGAATCATATACATATACTATGGATCAAGTATGTGTCTTTCAAGACTTCACACAGGTTCCAAAGGTATACATATGTCCTAAAGAACCGAATAAACCCTCGACTCTTGGCATGCCAACTATACCCCTAGCTCTCATGACACATAACATGGGCGTTATCATTTATTTCATTTCAAATATACACATAACTTGTAATTCACTTTCACATATCACGTATCACATAGCTTCTTTTCATATGATCACATAGTCACGTAGTTCACTTACCCGTAGATCATTTCCATATAATTCACATGTCACATATGTCATGTTTTCCTATAATTTCTATCATTTCTCACCCAATCACCTTTATTCATATAAACATACTTATCATATCTTGTTCACCTAAAATCATATACTTCATATAATATATCGAAACACCTAGAACACTTTCACGTAGCTTATAGTCATAAGTTTGTCTCGTATCATATACTTGTTTTCACATATATATTTCCTATCAATTCTTATGCCATCACATAATTCCTTTAACATACATAACATATCATGTAACATTATAATAGAAATACTTATAAGTCATATCACTTAAAGCACATATACTTATAGTCACATTGCTTATATCTTAATCGTATGCCTTCTCTTAAACATATATATTCACATGTTCAGGTAATTCACCATTTCATCACATAATTGGGTATTCATATAACTCATTTCATTTCATTTCATATCTATCTATATATATATATATCCTCAAGATTATCCTAATATAAATCATATAGCACTCTTATATTTCGTATTCATCTAGGGCAGACTTATAAACATATCTCACTTCTATTATTTCTATATATAATCTAATCTGTTACTTAATTCAATTTCTTATAGCTCTTATAATCTTCTCATATAACTTCACAAATTTCTATCATTCAACCCATGTGTTATAGTTTATTTAAACCTATGAATCTTTCCCATCTAGCTTATCTTATACGTTCATCTTATCATTTATGTTCAAATCCCCTAGTTGGTGTACTATTTTCACTTCATCCTATAGATCAATATTATCCAGTTTATTTCACTTATCATATAAAATATAATTATATTTTACTATGATCACATAGTTTATATCTCATACTTTGTTTCTCATGTTCACCTATATCATGTCATATGGCTCATATCTTTCTCATGCAGTCACATAGTTCAGTTTCACATATGTATATATATATACCTTATATAGCATACTTCTCATAACATTACATTCAAAGCATGTCAACACATATATTCATGCATACATACAATTCATGTCATTCATATACGTATAATCATATATCATGCATTCTAACATAGGAAATAGACTTGTCGCAAGTCTTGTTTCCATTTAGCACCATAAACTAACTAATATGCACTCACCTGGCCTCACTAGCCAAATCCAATCTCTTACTTTCCCTTGATCGATCTTACTTGCTAAACGTTCCGGAATTGCTTTATGCGTAGAATCTACATAATGTACATTTCGAGACCATCATTAGATACTTACACCTTGTAATTGGATACTATCAATTTAAACGAACTTATTAAATCCATATCCCCAATTTTCCTTTAGGGGGAATCGGTTCCCCCCCCCATGGGGTATCGGTTCCCCTATGACATACTGGAAATTCTTGTTCGTTTGAAGGGGTATCGGTTCCCCTTGAATGGGTACCGATTCCCTTGCCCAGAAATCATATTTTCAACCCGAAAATTACTTCATTTCCTCTCAAACACTTCATATATCATCCCCTTTTCATCCTTAACTCTAGTACACATACTTAAACCAATCTATATTCATTTATTTCATCTTAAACCTCAAAATTCTATCTTCCATATAAGATTCAAAAATCATACCAAATTTCCAATGTGTTCTAATTCCAATTCTAACACTTCCTACCTCTTAATTTAATCCTTGACAAGTCAAATTCAACTTCACAATCTATTAACTCCTTCCATATCAAAAATTCACTTAAAACTCATTTTTCTTAATTTCTCATAACTTGTTAATCTTTGAGGTTTAAGCCCCCTAAAGCTTTCCTTAATCTTTCTTAATATCCCAAGAATCAAAACAAGCTTTAAAACGAAAGAATTAACCAACTAAAGACTCACTTACCTTATACCAAGCTTCACGGTGGAGAGGAGGAAGAAGAAGACTGAAGAATGCTCTGGACTCTTCATACGTGCTTATTACCCTTAAAAAAATTATAAAAAATCTTCTGGTCAAATGACCATAATACCCTTAATTTCCTTTAATAATTACCAAATAACCTTCAACATATATTCAAATAATCATTGAATTCTTTCATTCTTCTACTTTAGTCACCAATTCTGAAACTTTACAATTTGGTCACTAACCCGGTATTGCGGATGTTACAGTCTCCCTCTATTTTCTTGTACAAGAAATTAATGCAGAAAATGGTGGGGAAGTACAGCAAGCATGACTCAGTTATGGAAAAACCAACCCCAAGTAGACTCATCTAATTAAACCAGGGACCCATATGAATTGTAGCCGCATGACTCAGTTATGGAAAATAATATTGACCATAAAAACCAACCCCAAGTTGACTCATCTAATTAAACCAGGGACCCATATGAATTGTAGCCGCATGACTCAGTTATGGAAAAATAATATTGACCATAAAAACCAACCCCAAGTAGACTCATCTAACTAAAGCATGGACCCATGAAAATCGTAGCTACATGACTTTCAAAGTCAGAAAACTACATAAATTGCACTCTGGTTCTTGTTGATGAACAAAGCATTCTCAAATACAAATCAATCTCCACAATTAAGAAATCGATTCAAGTTGATGGAGCTATCAAAAACTCATATGGTAGCATCCATCTCTCTTTTCCTTGTTTACATTGAAGTTATAATTCTCCTCTCAAGCTTCAACCTGCTTGGTTTAGCAACCGCAAGCCCTGTGGTAAGAGGAAATGACACTGATCAACAAGCTTTACTCCAGTTCAAAGCAAAGATAACCGGTGATCATCTCAGAATTATGGAGTCCTGGAATAGTTCCATTCACTTCTGTCAGTGGCGTGGTGTTACATGCGGTCGCAAGCACCATAGAGTCACTAAGTTGGAACTGCAACTCCTCAAACTCTCGGGATCTTTGTCACCATTCATTGGAAATTTGAGCTTTCTCAGGGAGTTGCGTCTTGCTGGTAATAGCTTCTACAATGAGATGCCTCCAGAGATCGGTCGGTTAAGAAGACTCGAAAAATTAGACCTGACCAATAACTCCATCAGTGGTGAAATTCCTTCCAATCTATCTGCTTGTTCTAAGCTTACATCAGTTTATCTGATAAGCAATCAGCTGACAGGAGAAATACCTTCCCTGCTAGGTCTCTTGTCAAGCCTAAAATCCTTGATCTTTTACAACAACAGTTTGAGAGGGAGTATCCCACCTTCGTTGGGGAACTTGTCATCCCTGGAGATACTTGGTTTGTCACTTAATCAATTCACAGGGATTATACCTGAAACTCTTGGACAATTGACGAATCTTTCAGAGTTCTTCATAGAAGAAAATATGATTTCTGGTGATGTTCCTGCTGCAATGTTCAATCTCTCCAACATTAGAGTCTTCGATGTCGGTTCAAACAAGATTCAAGGTACCCTTCGTTCTGATTTGATCATTGCTATGCCATACGTTGAGTTCTTTGCTGTATCGGCAAACCAAATCTCCGGACAAATCCCGATTTCGATATCCAATGCCTCAAACCTAAATATACTTCAATTTTCCGAGAACAGACTCAGTGGACATGTGCCTTCGGTCGAAAAGCTGGATAAACTGTTTACATTTCTCATTTCCGGAAACCATTTGGGACAAGGCAAAGAAGGTGACTTGAACTTTGTTTGCACTTTAGTCAATAAGACAAAACTAGAAACTGTAGAAATAGGCAAAAATAACTTTGGAGGTATATTCCCAGAATGCATTAGCAATTTTTCTAACACACTTTTGAATTTAGGAATAGCAGAGAGCAAAATATCAGGAAGAATCCCAGAAGGAATTGGAAATCTCATCAATTTAGAGGAGCTATGGTTATCAGAAAATCAACTATCAGGCCCTATACCCTTAAATATTGGGAAGCTTCAAAAGATACAGAGATTTTACGGCGAAAGTAATTATCTATCCGGGACTATTCCTCATTCTATTGGAAATATAACAATGTTAACTGAGCTTGTTTTAGATTTTAACCATCTTCAAAATAGCATTCCTTCAACTCTAGGTAATTGCCAAAAGTTAATCGTTATGATTCTTTCTCATAACGATCTTAGTGGACCAATACCCCCTCAAGTACTTAGACTCCCATCCTTGTCCATTGGATTGGACTTATCATCGAACTATTTGACTGGCGACCTTCCTGTTACCATAGAAAAATTGATAAATCTAGGCGAATTACGTGTTTCTCAAAATAGGTTATCTGGTTTGCTTCCGAATAACCTTGGTAGTTGTGTAAGTCTGACGAAGCTGTTCTTGGATGGCAATTTGTTTGAAGGATCCATTCCTTCGTCTTTGAGTTCAGAGAGGGGTCTTGAGGCATTGGATGTATCTAGCAACAATCTTTCAGGCAGGATTCCAAGATTTCTAGTGAGCTTTGGTGCATTAAAGTATCTAAATCTATCTTTCAATGGTTTTGACGGAGAGATACCAAGTGAAGGAGTTTTTAAGAATGCAAGTGCTACATTCGTTAGTGGGAACAATAAGCTTTGTGGAGGCATCCCTGAGTTTCACTTGTCGAGATGTAATTCGGAAGCATCGTCAAGCACCTCTCTTAAACTAAAAATCGCAATTGTTTTTGGGATTTTAGGACTGGTTTTGGTATTCTCTTTTATCCTTATCATATGGTTTAGAAAGAAGAAAGAGTATCAACCAACAACAACTGGTCCAGAAAATTCGCTTTTACATTTATCATACCAAAGCATCCTAAGGGCTACCGATGGATTCTCCCAGCAGAATTTGCTTGGTTCGGGAAGCTTCGGTTCTGTATACAAAGGAATTCTTGAAGAGGGTGGAGCAACTATTGCAGTAAAGGTGCTGAATCTTCTGAATCGTGGAGCTCCAAAGAGTTTCATGGTTGAATGCGAGGCCTTGAAGAACATTCGACATCGGAATCTTGTCAAGGTATTAACAGCAATTTCAGGTGCAGATTATCAAGGAAATGATTTTAAAGCCTTGGTTTATGAGTTCATGGTAAATGGAAGCTTGGAGGATTGGTTGCATCCGTCGACATGTATTAATGAACTAGAGATGATGAGAAATCTGGATTTCATCCAAAGAGTAAATGTGGCCATAGATGTTGCTCATGCCCTGGAGTATTTGCACCATAGCTGTGAAACATCGATCATACATTGCGACCTCAAGCCAAGTAATATTCTACTCGACAAGGAAATGGTTGGCCATCTAAGTGACTTTGGCATAGCAAAAATCCTTTCTGAAGATGAACTTAACAATTCTGCTAATCAGTCGAGCTCCCTTGGATTGAGAGGAACTATCGGTTATGCTCCACCAGGTCAGCAGTTCGTTTCACTCATTTATTTATTTTTATGATCATTAGTTATGTACTTTCATCATATAATAAAATATATTCCGGAAGCAGCTTTTATAGATTTGAAGCATTGATATATGTTTAATTATTACTGCATAACTTGTGATAAATTAATTGTAGAATATGGCATGGGAGGTGAGTTGTCAACAAAAGGTGATGTGTATAGCTATGGCATTCTCTTGTTAGAGATGTTTACTGGGAAAAGGCCAACTCATGATATGTTCAAAGAAGGTTACAGCATTCGCAACTTTGTTGCCGCAGCGTTGCCTAATCGCGCGTCTGAGATTATAGATCCCATTCTTCTGCAGGAGAGAGCTATTCAAGGAACACTTGCAAATATCACTCTCAATGACAGGCATCTTCAACACTTGAATTCCATATTCGAAATAGGACTCGATTGTTCTGTCGAATCAGCTAGTGAGCGGATGGACATGAGTGATGTCGTTTCCAAGCTTTGTCCGATTAGAAACAAGCTACTCCATTCAACTCGCTTGCCTCGAGAGCGCCAAACTTTATATGCTGCCCAATCAGCAGGTATACGATAATGTCTTATGTTTTATTTTATATGATTTTAACAGGTAAAATTCATTTTGGATACATTTTGTTCTATAAATTTGGTCGTTTAGATGTTTCCTTAGTTTCATATGTTGCAGGTATCTAAGATGCCATAAAATCAATGGTATCTGGTATCTGGTATCTGGTATTTGCAGGGCTACTGATTTCTCCCAAGGAAACTCAGTTTTGAGGATAAATATACATATAGTATGTCTGTAATCTGTATTAAACATGTTGATATCCCTTTTGTGTATCAAACTAGTTATAATAAAACAAGAACCATCATTAGATGAACATATAATAAAAAATGTTTGACATTCATTGACAAGCGTCGTTTCACTTGTCAAAATAAAATAAACCTCTTCGAAAATAAAATAAGTAAATGATAAGTAGAATAGTGGAAGAGGGTCGATCCACAGGGAAATTTAGAATCTCTTATGCGATTTATGCTGATTTCAGTCCAGGAAGCTGTAACAAATTAAATGAAAAAAGGGGTGGTAGGCAAATTTGGGATGGAGAAAACTAAATAGAAATTAAAGTAAATAGTTGAGCAAAAGCAGTGAATCAGAAGAAAACAGTAAATCAAGAGGAAATAAAAGTGAATTTTGAGAAATAACAATAAGAGAGAGATCGCGTCGAGGTAGCTTTTGATTCGATTCCTTTGATCATAGAAATGTATTTTTGTTCCGGGATTCAGGTCGGTTACAGTCTACGAGGCTCAATCCATTGTAACTTGTCCTTCTCTCATGTAATCGATCTTTTCAGGTCTATCTTTGAAAGACGATTCTTGAGTGGATTAACCACATCTATTATCGTTAAAACATTCATATTAGAAGTTGAAAAGGCCCAACTCGGATGTTATCTCGTCGAGAATCGATTCCGATCTCGTTTTCCCTTAGTGGATCTCCGCTAAGCGTGTTCACAGGAAGTCGAAGTGTCACAGGCCGATCCTTCCTCCCAACAATATTTTCAAACAATGTTCGGACCAACGTTGACTTTTTGATTCGAAAACGTTTAAAATTTATGAGCAAGGCCGATTGCCAAGCTTTTTTATCCAGAAAAACGAGAATGTATCATGAAGGGATTTAAGCACTTTGTTCGATTCTCACGATAAAATCGATTCATTACTAGCTCTCTGTGAGAAAATTAGCTAAGCATGATATTGATTATCATACTTAGCAAGGTTTGTAAAATAAAAATAACTTAGAAAAGTAAAATAAAATAAAAAGGAAAATGGAGACTTTAATTAAAATAGAAAATGCCGAAAAACAAAAGTAAGAAGATGATCCTAAGCCTTACCCAAAAGAGGGTTTTTATAGGCTTCCAAATCCTAAAGATAACAAGGAAATTAAAAGATAATTCTTTAAACTTTGAAAATTAAATCCAAATTCCTTAAAAAGCCTCCACATATCGTGCTAAGTTGTTTCCACAATATTCTTTGCGTTGACTTGGACCTTCTAGAAACTGCCATGTCAGACCCGTGTCGTGCCCATATCTTCAGCCGTGACCAAAAAAATAAAAAAGGGTGCAAAATACATCCTTTTGCTGCTAATTCCAGTAAGCTGACCTCTGCACAGAAAATAAACAAACACAACCCAATTTAGCAGTGATATGTTTGTAAAATGAAGAATTTAGCAATTAGAAGGAGTCAATCTCAAATTCCCCCTCACTTGCCTCATATTTGTCCTCCAGTATGTTCGAATTAAATTAATCAAGAGCTTAATTTTCCTTCTCCCCCAAACCATTGCATTCTTTAGCAAATCATGAAAACCAAGTTCACAAAAATGACATGAATTAAACATTAATCAAGTGGAATGTCATAAGTAATAAAAATGTATTTTATATACTAAACTATATATATATATATATATATATATATATATATATATATATATATATATATAGCCATGTTATATTTTATGCATCCTTTTATGCATTAAATAAGTACACACATACACGCATAAATTAAATAAATATTATTAACCCTATTTACATTAAATACATTATTCTTTATATATTTTATTACGAGCATGCATGTAATTTTTTTCATCATTATTTTTATATTCCTTTATTTTATTCTAATATTTTCAAGAATCTATTTGTGGAATGAGCGTGGAAATTATCACTTGATCGAAGTGACGATCCGATATGGCATTTTAACGAAATGAAAATTTGAAATAAATCTAGTTTATTTTACCCATTAAATTAATTTTTTTTATCAAATATTGCAAGACATTTTTCCTTAAATGGCAATTTATGTTATTTTACGCAAATATCGATTTTCCATTTATATTCGATTCGTGTCTCTTAATAAATGAGGAAAGAATATTCTTTAAAGATAAGAAATAGACGATATAACTTTCCCGATGATGAATTGCTAATCTCGAGGTTTCTTTTCAAGTTAAAGAATTTTCCCTAATTAGTTAATTCGAAGCAAATTAATTAAATCTCAATAATCGGATCATAATTTAACTTTATATTCGATTCATCGTTTCCACCATCTACGATAAAATGTAAGTGTCACAGTATCAATTCTGGGTGATGTGGGGTGCTAATCATTCCCCACGCATAACCAACTCCCGAACCCGTTTTAATCAAATCTTTGGTGACGCAGACCAACTTTTGTTTAAAAAATGATTTTTCTTAAAATTATTTTTAAAATACGTTTTTAGGTATTCGACCTAACTAACCCAAAGATCAATGATGACTCTATCCAATTTAATCTAAAATATCAATTTTTCTAAATTAAAGTCGTAACTGTTTTTTAAAAACAATAAATAATTATTTCACCTAAAAAAAATGGTTGACCATTTTCTTCTACAAGAAATTAATACTATATATTTCTTCTGAATATAAAGATCAATGTAGAAAGTGGTGTCAAAGTGCAGTTGCAGACTTCCACAACAATTGACCAATTGAACGCCTTGGGTTTAAATTTCCAGTCAACTTCCATTATACTAAGTGGGGGGAAAAGTAATTAGTGAAAACAACTCTTTTTATAGTGCAAGACTTGGGGTTGCCATTTTTCAACCCATTTTCCAAGTTGCAAACTTTCAGTCATAATCAATGTATCAGAAGACTTGGAACAGTCGATCTCCACTTTGAGGAATCCCGAAATCCATGATGAAAACCAACTCAAGCAAATGCTTCTTCCACTAAAAGGAATTTATAAATTGTCTTTTTCTTGTTGATGAACCCCAAGCATTCTCAAATAATGAACCAGTCTCATCAATTAAGAAGACTGGAGAAATTAGACCTGACCAATAATTCCATCAGTGGGGAAATTCCTTCAATCTATCTGCTTATTCTAAGCTTACTTCAGTTGATATGAGAAGCAACCAGCTGACAGGAGAAATACCTGCTTCGCTAGGTCTCTTGCCAAGCAATGAAACTTTGATTTTGATGAACAACAGTTTGAGAGGGAGTATCCCACCTTCGTTGGGGAACTTGTCATCGTCATATTACTGTCTAATAATTCATTCTTATAAAAAAAATAAAATAAAAGAAAGAGTAGTAAAGAGAAGTAAGGTTGGTCCACAGAGACTTTGAAATTTTTATGATCAAATTTTTTTTTGATTTAAATCTGGATAAAGATGAGAAAATATATAGATTTAGATAAACGTGAGAAAAGATAGGGATGAGAGAAAAAGGGGAGTTTTAAATTGTTTAAAAATAATAATTTGAGATAAAAATAAGATAAATAAATTGAAAAATAAATAGAGATGAAGAAAAATTATAGTGAAAAACAGCCTCAAGCTTAAGCTTTTGCCTCGATTCAAATTGATCATTGGAATAGATTTTCACTTCGGATATTTGTCGGTTACAGTCTACAGGACCCAACCCCTGTAACATGTTTTTCTCTCTTGTAAACCGAAAATCCAAAAGCTATTTTTGAATTCCAGCCCTTATGTGGATTAACTATGACTATCTTCGTCAGTACCAACTCAGTTTTAAAAACTTTGGAAAAACCCGATCTCAATTTCCCTTAACAGACCGCCACCAAATGTGTTCACAGGAAGTCGAACTTGCTACCAAATGATTATTCCTCCCAACTTTAAATCAGAACAACATCCAAACCAAAGTCGACATTTTGATTTAAAAGCGTTTTGATTTTAAAGGATATGTCGATTACCTATCCTATTTCTTCAGAAAATTGAGAAAATAACCCGAAGCTATTTTAAGTGTTTTTCAATCCTTACAATAGGAATTGAGTATCGCTTTAGTCATTGGCTTATGGAGAAAATAGCTAAGTATGACAATCATACTTAGTATTTTAAAAATAAAAAAAAATAAAAGTTTTGAAAATAAAGAAAAAGTGCTTTTATAAAAACTCAGAGTAAAGAATAAGAATAAAATTTGAATGTGTTTTAGGCTTATCCTGAGAGTGTATTTATAGCCTTCAAAATCCCTAAAAATAATAAAAAGATAATTCCTAAAAATAAGAGATAATTTCTAAAGGCAATTCTTAAAATATTTAAATTAAAATCCTAAAAACATGAGATTAACTTGAGTTCAAATTTCGAAAATGTGGAAGACCCATTCGTCCTTCTAGAAGCGTTGACTGGACCTTTTGGAAGGTGCTGATTTAACGCCACGTCAGATGCATCATGCCTAGAGTCATGCCCACTAATTAAGCCTGGATTCCAAAATAAAATAATGCAGAATTATGTCATTTCAGTGTAATTTTCAGAATCTAGTGTCTTGTACAGAAAATGAATCAAACGAACAAATCAGGCACAAAAACCAACAACTAAGGAGCAATTTAAAGGCAAAATGATAACTAAATAAACCACCTAAAAATCAAGGTACTTGCTCTGTTGATGAATAGATTAACTGGGATTATACCTGAATATTTGGGGCAGTTGACATAATTTTCAGGTTTTTCGTAGCCGGAAATGCAATATCTGGTATTGTTGCTGTCACAATGTTCAATCTCTCAAATATTACCGGATGTTATATATCCTTCTTATTACAGCCTCTTTGTTTTTGTTGCAGAAGGAAACACTGCCCCAAATTTGAAGTAGTAATTTGGACTAAAGTCAAGTGTTCCTCGATGAGACAAGTGCTACTCATGCATCACCATAGACGATTAATTAACAATTGAACATGCATAATGTTGTTGCTAAGCATTGTTCTATAAGAGACAAGATCTTCCAAGTAGATCGATAACAACGGGAGGTACTAACTATACATTTTAATCATACTATTTGTTGTCAAAAATTTTCATCTTTCGGAAAGTACTAAATTGGCAAACTGCATTTCTTTTTTTGTAAAAAAAAGCTTTAAATTACAAGCTTTGTGGAAGCTTGGTGAAAGGAGCTGATGATGAAAGTTCCCAATCCATCAGTCCAATTTGCAGACTTCCACAACCATTGACAGATTCTTCAACTCTTTTTTATAGTGCAAGACTTGGGATAGCCACTTATTCAACTTGGACCACCAACCCATTTTCCAAGTTGCAAACTTTCACAATCATCACCACCTATCAATCCAATGTCTTGTGCCATTAACACAGTGCATGAGTTGGGTTTCTGTTCTATTTTGTTTTATTTTTCGATTTTTCCGAGCTTCTATTCTAGGATATCCTATGATCTCACTATCTTTAGCATCTATTGCCGCGAGATATGTATTTCAAATCTTCAAGAGCTCGTATTACGAAATGATCTCTAGGTACTTGTATATAGCTGTATAGACACGAAATGAATGACCTGGCTCGAGAATGTACGCATCCACCACAAACCCAATCAGTTATCAAAGTCTTGGATGACGGAGTGAGGGGATGGATTCGTTTACTTGGGAAGTCTCCCTCTATTTTCTTGTACAAGAAATTAATGCCGAAAGTGCTGGAGAAGTACAGCAAGCATGACTCAGTTATGGAAAAACCAAACCCAAGAAGATTCGTCTAGTTAAAGCAGGACCGATATAAATAGTAGCCACGACTTTCAAAGTTGGGAAACTTGAAAATCGTAGCCACAGGACTTTCAAGGTCAGGAAACTATATAAATTGCACTCTGGTTCTTGTTGATGAACAAAGCATTCTCAAATACAATAAATCTCCACACTAAGAAATTGATTCAAGTTGATGGAGCTATCAAAAACTCATATGGTAGCATCCACCTCTCTTTTCCTTTTTTACTTTGAAGTTATAATTCTCCTCTCATGCTTCAACTTGCAGGGTCTTAACTTGCTTGGTTTAGCAACCGCAAGCCCTGTGGTTAGAGCAAATGGCACTGACCAGCAAGCTTTACTCCAGTTCAAAGCAAAGATAACCGGTGATCAGCTCAAAATTATGGAGTCGTGGAATAGTTCCATTCACTTCTGTCAGTGGCGTGGTGTTACATGCGGTCGCAAGCATCAGAGAGTCACCAAGTTGGAACTGCAACACCTCGAACTCTCGGGATCTTTGTCACCATTCATTGGAAATTTGAGCTTTCTCAGGGAGTTGAGTCTTGCGGGCAATAGCTTCTACAATGAGATCCCTCAACAGATTGGTCGTTTAAGAAGATTGGAAAAATTAGACCTAACCAATAACTCCATCAGTGGTGAAATCCCTTCCAATCTATCTGCCTGTTCTAAGCTTACAACAGTTGATATGAGAAGCAACCAACTGACAGGAGAATACCTGCTTTGCTAGGTCTCTTGTCAAACATGAAATACTTGGTTTTGTACAACAACAGTTTAAGAGGGAGTATCCCACCTTCGTTGGGGAACTTGTCATCCCTGGAGATACTTGCTTTGTTGATGAATGGATTAACTGGGACTATACCTGAATCTTTGGGGCAGTTGGCAAATCTTTCAGGTTTCTCCATAGCCGGAAATGCAATATCTGGTATTGTTCCCGTCACAATGTTCAATCTCTCAAATATTAGAGACTTCGACATTGGTGGAAACAAGATTCAAGGTACTCTTCCTTCTGACTTAGCAATCAATATGCCATATATTGAGTTCTTTTCCATAACGAGAAATCAAATCTCCGGACAAATCCCGGTTTCAATATCAAATGCTTCAAATCTGGGTATACTTCAATTGCCTCAGAACAGACTCACTGGAAATGTGCCTTCATTAGGAAAGCTTGGCAAATTATATAGATTTATAGTAGATGGAAACCACTTGGGACATGGGAGAGGGTGACTTGCACTTTCTTTGTACTTTAGTTAATAATACCAAACTAGAAACTCTAGAAATATTTGTAAATAATTTTGGAGGGGTATTGCCTGAATGCATTAGCAATCTTTCTAAGAACCTTTTGCAATTAGAAATAAACGAGAACAAAATATTGGGAAGAATCCCAGATGGTATCATAAATCTCATCAACTTGGAGGTGCTAATGGCAGGTCAAAATTATCTATCAGGTCCCATTCCCTTTGATATTGGGAGGCTTCAGAAGCTACAGATATTTTTGACTGATAGTAATTTTTGTCTGGAACTATTCCACATTCTATTGGAAATTTGACTGAGTTAACAGAACTTACTTTTGATTTTAACAATCTTCAAGGGAACATTCCTTCAAATCTAGGTAAGTGTCAAAATTTGCTTAGATTGAGTCTTTCACATAACAATCTTAGTGGACCGATACCCCCACAAGTAATTGGACTCTCATCGCTGTCCATTGGCTTAGACCTATCATCAAACTTTTTAACCGACGAGCTTCCTTTTGAAGTAGGAAAATTAAAAAATCTAGGTGTATTGGATGTTTCTCAAAATAGGCTATCTGGCTTGCTTCCGAACAATCTTGATAGCTGTGTAAGTTTGGTGAAGCTGCTATTAAACGACAATTTGTTTGAAGGGTCTATTCCGTCATCTTTGAGTTCATTGAGAGGACTTGAGGCGTTGGACGTATCTGACAACAATCTTTCGGGTGGTGTTCCGGAATTTCTTGTGACCTTTAAGGCATTGAAGTATTTGAATCTCTCATTCAATGATTTTGAAGGAGTGGTACCAAGTGAAGGAGTCTTTAAGAATGCAAGTGCTACATTCGCTGAGGGAAACCGTAAGCTTTGCGGAGGCATTCCCGAGTTACACCTGTCTATATGCATTTCAAAAAAATCATCAAACACTTCTCTTAGAGTAAAAATTGCAATTGTTATTGTGATTTTGGCAGTGACTTTGGCTCTTACTTGTCTCCTCATATTGAGGTTTAGAAAGAAGAAAGAGCAGCCAACAACAATTTCTGTAGAAAATTCTCTTTTACAGCTATCATACCAAAGCATCCTAAGGGCTACTGATGGATTCTCTACGCAAAATTTGCTTGGTTCTGGAAGCTTCGGTTCTGTGTACAAAGGAATTCTTGAAGGGAGTGGAGCAGCTATTGCAGTAAAGGTGCTTGATCTTTTGAATCGTGGAGCTTCTAGGAGTTTCGTGGCTGAATGTGAAGCGTTGAAGAACATCAGACATCGAAATCTTGTCAAGGTACTAACAGCCATTTCAGGTGTCGACTATCAAGGCAACGATTTTAAAGCCTTGGTTTACGAGTTCATGGAAAATGGAAGCCTGGAGGACTGGCTGCATCCATCTGTCCCCGCGAATGGACCGGAGACAGTTAGACACTTGAACTTTTTCCAACGAGTAAGTGTGGCCATAGATATTGCCCATGCGTTCGAATATCTGCACCATCATTGTGAAACATCGATCATACATTGTGACCTCAAGCCAAGCAATATTCTGCTCGATAAGGAAATGGTTGGACATGTAGGTGACTTTGGCTTGGTAAAAATTGTTTCTGCAGATACGCTCAACTGTTCTACTAATCTTTCAAGCTCCCTTGGATTAAGAGGAACTATTGGTTATGCTCCACCTGGTATGTTGTTTATTTTTTTAATTTATTCCATTATTTAAAACCAAAACATATAATCTAAAAGTAGGTTTCCCTATATTTTCTCTGCAATTATTTCTATACGTAATTTTTTATAATTTAATTGTAGAATATGGCATGGGAAGTGGGTTATCGACAAAAGGTGATGTGTATAGTTATGGCATACTCTTGCTAGAGATGTTCACGGGGAAAAGGCCGACTGATGAAAGATTTAAAGAAGGACTAAGTCTTCGCAACTTTGTTGAGACAGCGTTGCCCGAACGAGTGGTTGAGATTATAGATCCCATTCTTCTTGAAGAGAGCGTACAACGAAGAACAATCGCGGACATCACTCTCAATGAAAACAGCCAGAGAAATGACAAACATTTTCAGTGCTTGAGTTTGATAATGGAAGTAGGACTTACTTGTTCTGCTGATTCACCGAGTGAACGGATGAACATGAGTGATGTTGTTACCAAGCTTTGTTCTATTCTAGACGAGTTTCTTCGTCCAACTCGATTACATCGTGGGATTCGAACTCCAAAAGCTGCTCAACCAGCAGGTAATGTTGTCTTCTTATCTTAACAAACACAAAATCTTTTCATCATTCGAGGCAGATTTCCACTACTTTGAAGATAATTGTCGTGTTTAGATATATGAAAAAGTAAAAGAGATTTCCATGTTTGCAAGTTGCAGGTATATAAGGTGCCGTATTGATGAACATGAGAGGCTTAGATCAGACAAGGTGTTGGCTTGTCTCTTTTGTACACATTCTATATGGTATTAGCAGGTCTTATTTCTCCTAAAAACACACTGTTTTGAGGAAAGAGAATAAATATGTAATATTTACATATTTCCACCAAATATTTAGTTATGATGTAATTCTCTTAATCTGAAGTTTCATGTACCTACAAATTTGGAACCTTCTTAGTGATATTTGTATAAAATCTTAAAGGATTAAGGGCTCTGTAGTAGACTCAATTTATATGATTTTTTTGCATCAATTTAGCTCTCGAATTTGTTTAAGGGCATCAACCTAGCCGAAGTCCATTAACCGTTTTGACTAACAAGACTGTGAGTCTTCTACGTCTGTGGATTAGGTTAAAATATTTATTAAACACATTGATTAGAAAAAATTCTTAAAATTTTATTATTTATTTCAGTGAGATTAAAGGGCTAGGTCAAATTTTTGGAGATTTTTTCCAAGCGTTGTATTTAGTAAATATTTTATTATTTATTATTTTTTAATAAATGTCACGTCAGTAATATAGGTTGGCTTGAAAAATGCTGGTGTCGATAAACACAGAAGACTAACGGTTCTATTAGTCAAAACGGATTTCGTGAAGTAGGATAATGCCCCTAAACAACTTCAATGGCTAAATTGATGCAAAAAACCATAAGAACGAAAATGATAAATTGAGTCTACTACAAAGACAAAAGTAAAAATACCTATTTAAATCTTCTTAGTGATATTTGTTTAAAATCTTTAACATGGAATTTGCAATACTGTCTTGTAAGATCTTTTTCCTTGTTTCTTCTATGATTCCAGTCTTTGTAAGTTCTAATAACGAGTTAATGCTCCCCATTGATCTAGCCTTCAAGATTTAGCCTCAACACGTCAAATTACAATGCTTCAGATTAGCTAGTCTTGGATTGATACTTCCAGCCACCATCTCAATTTCTAAGAACATCCCTCGCCCCTCTTTCGAATCTTGACTCGATCACAAACACAGATGATGCGCCGGCTGTATCGATCTTTATCGATCTCGCAAGTCTGTCACCACTCTTTTTGCCCGAAATGCAGAATACAACACCAAAGAGTTCACTGCACTCATATAACCAAGATTGTTTGCTTCACCATTACACATGCACCGGACTTTACGGGATGTTGTATTCAGCATCTCAAACTCAAAAAGTGTGACAAAAGAATTTGATCAATAACGAATGCAAAGAACTAAGGCATGTTTCATACTCTACAAAATGCTTGGTTATTTGTGTTCTTCATGGCGTTTTCAGGTGAAGGATAGCCATTGGACATTGCTAGCCAAAACTTATTACAATGTTCATTTCCAATCGATAAAGTTTGTTCTAGAGATTCTCAACCATTTCTGATCGATAATGTTTGTTTCAGAGATTCTCAATCATTTGACAATAAACGCTCAAATATCATCATAAACCGATAACAATCCCTTGAAATATGTTTTTGTAGTAACCTTATAATATATAAAATATTGGTGGGTTGTTATTTGTTTGCATTTGTAATTTTATCCTTGATGATACCACTAGTTTTGTTATCATTACAATTAGGTAATCATTTTGTAATATCATTTGAAAGAAAAAGAAACGAAAAAAAGAGTTAACACTCATTTTCTAAAAGTTAACATTAATATAATTTCAAAAAATATTGATGCCCTTCGACATTTTTTTACAACGAAATTATTCTCGTCTTGTCTGCCATCTCATTTCACTTATATCTTCTAGCTTGCTCGAGATTGACCGTGAAAAGAGCATCCATTATATCCATGATCGCAATGTGATTGACGACATTGTCGAATAGCCGAGCTTCATCCAACTTTCATAGCATTGCTCAATCAACAGGTAACTATGCCAATGAAAATATGTGCATTAATCTTTTGCAAAATACTCCCCATCAACATGAATCCCTTTGCTTTGAGAATATAATCAAACTAGAAAAAGAAGCAAAACTTCAGCTATGTAGAAAGAGAGTAAAAAGGCGGAAAAAAAAATTCTTTGCCAAGGGAAGCTAAAACTAAAACAAAATCCCCCACCCGCCAGCCAAATACAAGCACATATATATATATTGAGAGAGAGAGAGAGAGAGAGAGAGAGAGAGCTTACCTCTTCAAGATATCATATCACCCTTTTCCAGCCAAATCCTCTGACAATTGCATTCAATAAAAATATTCACATATCTTCACTGACTTCATATTTACTACACCCTTTTCCATCTGCTGCCCGATCAGGAAATCTTCTAGGTCGAATCATGGGGTTGAAGTAATCATCTGAATTCAATCTCCGAACGGGGCGAGTTTGATCAAACCTTTGGTCCTGCATCCTCACATGTGACTTCCGTCCGCTAAAATGGTCTAAACCAGGATTACGATCCTCAAACATCCTGGAGTTTTGTTGCGGTGAAACATGACTACCAGGTGAGGAAATGAATTCTCCATGACCCGCACCAAATCGCTTTGTAAATGGCAACCTAACCCCATCTATTCTAGCATCAGACCGAAAATCTGGTGGCCTGTTGCAACGTCTTGAATCCGCATTTCGATCCCTCTGCAACAACCAATCTATGGGTGAGCGGCTCCTTGATCCTGATCGAGCTCTCTTGTAAGGTAAAGCATGATGAGGCCTTCTGTCATGGGGGGAAATGCTTCTTTCTCTCCTGTCTAAACGATGTGGAATCCGGCTCATGCATTGTGAGCTGTCATCATCAGGAACATGCCTGCAATATTCATCCCTGATGCCTCTACTAACCCCTTGTGGATATCTTCTAAACCTATTCCGATCAGTACTAGTATCTCTTACAGTATCCTTCACAGTTGGCCTCCTTAGATGCATATTGTAAAACTCATCTCTTTCAATTGGTGATCTCCTTCTAAGGATTGGTCTGTAAGAATCCATAAATTGCCTGGTAATACGGTGATCAGGTCTTGTAACACCCGCAGCATCTGAGGGTGCTTGGTCTGTTCCCATAGGATATTCTCGGTTCCCAAAAGTACTTTTTGATACGGGGCGCCCAAAATTGTAAGGGCTGTGATAAATATGTGGATGCTCCTGCTTAGAATAATCCCAACAATTAGCCGAGGGATTGAAATATTGAGCACTTTCTGGGCCTCTGCCATGAATATGTGAAGATCTATCACTCCACACGAATTTATCAGAACCAGAGCATCTCTCAGTTCGGAGATATGAACCATTAAAATTGTCAGACCTGAAATATTCAAATAATCAGAGCATCAATCAAAATGTATATAGAAAAGAAGAGACAATTATGTACAAAAATTTCACCTGGTAATTCGGTGGTCAGGTCTTGCAACACCAGCAGCAGCATCTGAGGGTGCTTGGTCTGTTCCGATAGGATATTCTCGGTTCCCAAAAGCACTTTTCAGTCCAGGGCGCCCAAAATTGTAAGCGCTGTGATAAATATGTGGAGGATCCCGCTTAGATGAATCCCAATAATTAGCCGAGGGACTGATGAATTGTGCACTTTCTGGGCTTCTGCCACGCATTTGTGAAGATCTACCATTCCACATGAATTTATCAGAACCAGAGTCTCTTTCAGTTCCGGGATATGAACCATTAAAACTGTCGGACCTGAAATATTCAAATAATCACAGCATAAATCAAACCTAGAAATGCATATAGAAAAGAAGAGACAATTATGTCAAAAAAATTTACATGCTTTTCTGAACATCAGAGGATAATGATCCTTCAACACATGAAAGAGATTCCTTTTCTGATTCCTTGGATAAATCTACTCTAAGATCATAATTAGACCTATCCAAGCAATCAAATTTCATAGTTTCACCAACAGACACTTCCACCGTTCTAATCTTCAAGCTCACTGAATTTTTCCCCAAAGCCTCCCCCGTTTTACAAAATTTTGAGCTCTCAGGTTCCAATTTCGATATTCTTTCTACCTCTAGTTCCTGCTCACCACTCTCAGCTTCCAAGACAAATGATTTTTCTTCCTCAAATTCAGTGTCATAATCCACCTGTTCGGCTTCCTCCCAACTTTGAGCATCTGATTCCCTCAACTTACCATCCTCAAATTGGGAAACATAACCAGAGCATCCTTCAGATTCCAGTTTCTCTGTACTCAAGCGCTCAGTCTCAGGAGGAATAGTTCTCAAGTCTGAAGTCATCCTGTTACCCCCATCAACATCAGATGAAACCACCGCAATTGAGGTGCCATTTTTCATATCTTGAGGTTCCTGAGCCTGCAAGTTCGAATCAAAACCAGAGCATCCTTCAGATTCCTGTTCCTCTATAGTCATATCAATAATGTCAACGGGCATGATTCTCAATTCTGAAGTCATCCTGTTACCCCCATCAACATCAGATGAAACCACCGCAATTGAGGTGCCATTTTTCATATCTTGAGGTTCCTGAGCCTGCAAGTTCGAATCAAACCAGAGCATCCTTCAGATTCCTGTTCCTCTATACTCATATCAATAATGTCAACGGGCATGATTCTCAATTCTGAAGTCATCCTGTTACCCCCATCAAAATCAGAGGAAACCACTACTTTTGTAGCATCTTTTTTTATACATTGTGAATCACAACCAGATTTCTGTTCCTCTGCACTCAAAACGCCAGTCCCAGCAGGCATGCTTCTCAAGTCTGAGGTCATCCTATTACAACCATCAACCTCAGATAAAACAACTTCGTTTGAAGTATCATCTATTATGTCTTGTGAACCATAACCAGATTCCTGTTTCTCTGTACCCAAATCATCAGTCTCAGCAGGTATGCTTCTCAACTTTGAAGTCATCCCATTACCCCCACCAACATCGGATGAAACCATTTCTTTTGTAGTATCAATTTTTATATTTTGAGGTTCCATAGTCTGCAACTCTTCGCTTCTAACAGTAGTATTATCAAAAGAATCCTTTTGAGAATCAACATTTCCTCCATCACAAGGCCAAGTATCCATTGAAACATTTAAATCCCAGAGAAATTTATCATCTGGAAAGGGACTGAACCTTTCTGGTGTTGTATCCTTTTCATTAGGAATTTCACGCAAAACAGCAGTATTGTCTTGGAAAGATGAGCCCTCAGACTTACTTTCATTTACTGAAAGATCTGTTCTCTTGCCACTGGAAAATTCAACCAGGGGAACAACCCTTTTGGGTGTCGTACCGCTATTGATGGGAAATTCATGCAAAACAGCAAAGGAATTGTCTTGGAAAGATGAACCCTCAGACTTTTTTTCATTTACCGAGTCTTTTGGAAAGCAACTCAATGTCTCCAGTGATGCAGTAGTTTCTTCAAAATGAATTGAAAACACAGAGGATTGAATTCTCTCCTGGGTTGATTCTTCTACTACTGGATTTTCCTCATATTCAGTAACTTCATTACAGAAGCTATCACTGCAAGCAGCAGCTGCAAGTATTTCAATCCCTGAGAGATCCTCGACACCGTTTATTACCTCTGGAATCTTCTCATCATCGGTACTAGGAGCATATGACTTGACAGAACAATCAGATTCATGAGCCGTTGCCACTGCTCAGCACTTGAACCACAATTCTGATCTGCAGTAGTTTGAAAACCTACATGCTCTTCAGAGGCTTCAAGGTGCAGACAAGTGGAAATTGGGGTTGGTGGTGACGGAGACCGGAACATAAACCACCTTTTCTTAATTGGAACATTCTCAACTTTTTCACTAAAGCGCCGACCTAGAACATCCCCACCAAGCTGCAAATAAAAAAAATGGAAAATTAGATGGAACAAGTGAGAACCCTTGAGGGTAGTTTTATAAGTACAAACGAATCTATTCTAACCTTCTCCGATTCTGGATCAGTAACATTCTCCAGTTCTCTGGAATTATTATTGGCTAGCTCCAATCCCATTGTCAAGCTTTTAGCAACTGGCTTCCTGTTACGACTCATCCCACTCCTATTCCTCTTTGGAACTGTTTTCCAAAAAAAGTCGGAATTTACAAAACTTCTGCGTTCCAGACCTACTGGTGTAGAAGAGAAACTTCCGGTGCAAGCAAAAATATGGTTCTGGAAACAATTAAAGCACAGATCCAATAAAATATGCATCTATATTAAACTGAAAGGAAATACACAAACTGGTGTATAGAAATCTTGTATCAGAAAAATTCCACTAGTGGTATGAGATTTAAAAAATTTCAACTGATGAAGACTTTCTTTTACGAAATTTTTAGTTTTTAAGTCATGGTGTCAAACAAACTACAAGGCCAAGAGACTTACAGTTAATTTGGTTCCTCCAATCTTTTCAGATATTTAAAAATACACAGATTATTATACAGCTAAAAAAAATCAACGAGAGAAGTGTCTATCCTTCCTGCAAAACAACATCAACAAACACAATCAGCATATGTACACATAAAAAGAGAACAAAAGTTCATATAAAAGAAGCTTAAGCATCCATTCAATGCACTTATTGTCATCACATATTCAGCCCCATAAGGCCATAACCAATAAAGAGACTATCACCATATGCCTCCGAATGCCATTTACCTTGAGGCAGATCAGGGTGACACATTTGATGTCCAGGAAAATTCCCTTCTCAATGTCACCATTGGACACATTTGAGTTCTTCACATACAATAGAATATATAAAGTAAAAGTTTCATCAATCATCATCAAAGCATACAGTTTTGACTTTTGACAAACTGTGTTATTTTCTATGCATTATTTCTGCATATTAACTCTGGGCAATAAGTACAATTGTTTTTATCTATGCCCAAAAATTGACATGGCAACCTAGCTACTTTGTGTCAAACTATCCAACAGCAGGATGGACCCAGGGGGGCTAGCAGGGCAAGTATTTTCTATTGATAATCTGTCTTCACCCTAAAGCTTTATAAGTTCGCTTCGCCCATAACGTAAAATATCGTGTCCCTATCCGACAGTCAATCTGAACAAAAGCCAAAAACATCAGTAAAGGTCTCCATTTCTCCTTTGAAGGACATATTATTCTTCCTTCAATTTCCCTACACTTTTCTGCAGCTAAGGTGTTTTGAATTTCACAAACAAGAACATGAGGCTCCTTAAATCAGAAAAAAGTAACCCCAAGGTCCAAAGATCCAAATAATATAAACAGTAAAAACACCAAATTTATCATCAGAAGATTAGCACATCATCCTTCCGACGCATCTAAACGAACAATTAATCCATCTAAACATTATACCAAATTTATCATCAGAAGATAAGAACACCAGCCTTTCGACGCATCTAAATGACAATTAATCCATCTAACAAAAAGTAAACACCTTAGAATTTCTATCTAATCAGCCTATCGATGCATCGGTATAGCTCCCAGAATAGTGTTTCAAGTCTTGATTAAAGAATCAGCTCTGTTGACTTCGATATATTGCACTAAAGTAGACAAACATCCTAAAATTAGCGATAAAAACCCCTTCCACCGAAGCTCCTGCAGCAATCGATGCCGATCGCCTCACTTACGAAACATCCCAGAAGAAATTTTACTATATTCAATGCGAAAGGTCGATATAGGAGAATCCGAAAAAGAAGACCCCATCTTTTCAACAACTTTCATCAACGAAAAAACAAAACCCCCAAATCTGCTCATCCTCTGAATAAGATTCTTTGACATCTAAACAACGCCAAGTCCGATCTTGGATGAAGGGGAAAAATCAACCACAAACAAAGGGTAGAAATTCAAATAAAATCAAATAAAGAAATAACAATCGCCCCAGCCAATCCTTACCCAGATTTTCGAATAAAAGAATCCGTCAACGCCAACAACAACAAAAACAAATTCAGCCTTGAAAGAAAGAACTTCGTTGAATTTCGATATCTAAATCAAATAAATAACGAAAAACCCTATCACCGGGGCTTCAAAATGACGATCTGGAGCTTCGAATTCGCCGATCTAATCCAAAATTGTTCTTCTTGTTTCTGGTCTGCGGAAGGCGTCAAAGGGCTAGCCGAATTGGACCAACACTGGCCTCTATGTAGACTTATTTAGATGAACTGCATGGCCATTTTGCCCTTGACCAAAACAGGGTAAACTACACATTTAGTATCTAAACTATTAATTTTGATCTATTTTAATATTTAAACTTTTCTTTTTTTAAATAATGTCTAACATTTTAATTTTTGTTTTATTTTAGTACATTGTGATTTAAAACTTAATGCGTTTAGATATTAAAACAGACCAAAATTGATAGTTTAGGTGTCAAACGCATAATTTACCCCCCAAATACCATGGTTTCAAAAATAAATGGTTAAAATATATATAATAGGTCACTAAAACTGTATTTTTTAATTAATCTGAAGTAAATATAAACTCCCACTCATTATATTCTTAGTGATTGAACTCGGGATCTTGAGAAATAATAACAATTTCTTTTACCAACGAAATAACTTGATTTGTGCCACTAAATTGTATCTAAATATTGTTTAATCACTAAAAATTATAAGTTATAAAATAATCATTATATTTATCAAATCGTTATAAAATTGTTACTGTAATGTTTAAGGACGGTATTTAATTCGAATTTAATGATTCTAATCTGACTTGATAGGGTAATTTTTTAAATCAGGATTGAGTAAATATTGTAAAGGATGGGGCCAGGTTGGATTCGATTTTATGGTGAAAAATCTTTGACTCTAGCAGACTCGGGATAATAATATAATGTTTTCTTTATGAATAATTTCTATAATACCCATCTCTAGGGGTGTATTCAATTAAGTCAAGTCAACAAATTTTAAGTTATACAAGTTGACGAGTTCTATTTTATAACTCAAACTTTATTTGAAATTTTATATAAAATTTAATTCGAGTAAAATCGAATTTTAACCATTTAACTTTAAGAAAAGTTGATTTTATCCCTCGGTTTTTAAATTTTGTTCTTTTTGGTAGCTCGACCATTAAGTCTTTGATGTCACTTGATTTTCTAGTAATTAATTTATGCAAAACCCATGATTTTAATTTTTTTATTCACGTGTAACGAAGTTTTTTTTTTCAAATTCAAATAGTACGAAGATCAAGAAAAAGGATAAAAAAAGTAATATATATTCCGATTCTACGTTGGTCAAATATCGAATATTGTATATCAGATCAAGAAAAATCGAAACTTTTATTTATCCTTTTTAGTACCAATTATATTGCAAACGATGACTAAATTTGATCGATTAACAGTAGAAAATAATTCCAGTCATGAGAAATAGAAAATTAACGTATTAAGTTAATTTCATAAATAAAGATGTCCAAAAAACAGCATTTCAGCACTTTTGTTATACTACCGACAACTGGGAGACTCCAAATATAAATTTCAAAAGTTAGATGTCAAGATCTGAAAATTTTAAAGTTAAATGACCAAAAAGTAAAGATAAAATTCAGGGACTAATTGTATTATTTTCGCAAAATGAAATTGAGAGGTACTTTACAACTCTTCATTGGCGAAAAAGCAATGGGAACTGGACACCCGAAGTCAAAAGATTCGGCCTTTGTCTTGTCAATTATTAGACGCCGTGGCCACGCGGTTGGTAAGTTCTACTGCAGCAGCCTAAATAAAGAGTTACAAGTTTTGTTATTATTTTTTAATAAAATTGATAAAAGAAATTATTTAAAATATTATTTTTTATCTAAATTATTAATGTTTTTTAATATTTTTGATAAAGTAAACAATAATAATAAAATCGATAAAAAATAATAAAATCGATAGTGTTTTACCGGATATGTTAACAAAATCGATAAAGCGTCCAATAATAACAAAATCGGTAGAAATAATAATATTTTCGTTAAATTTTTACCGATTTTATTAAAAAAATAATTACAAAATGATAACGTCTTTCTTTAGTCATATATTAAAACTGTCGTACGTGGGACTTTTCCCATGGTTGCTATAGTTCGGGATGCGTTTTTCGAATCGAATTTAGTGGACTTTTATTCGATTTGACCGGATCGAATTTTGTTTTTGAAGAGAAGATAGTTTTTATAAGTGAGTTAATGTTGAGTTTGGGTTTAAAGTGAAAATCTTAATTTTATTTGACATGACATAATATTTTCTGTCTTATAATTTATGTCTTATATTAATTATCAACGTAGTTTTAAAAGATATATTTGAAGAAAATAAATGGAAAAGCTATCTTGGGGGTGCCAATTAAAAAATAGTTTTATATATTTTAATTAAATTTTACTATTTTAAAATTAAGATGATTTTTCATTAATCAGTCAAATATTTATTAGTACCACAAACAAGTGCATCTCTATTCTAGCAAACTTAGAAATGGAAAAATAATCCAATTAAAAATAAATAAAATCATATGTTTATTTTGATGATTTATTCATTTTAAATATATAAAAATATATTTTTTTTCTTTAAATGTTAGGATTGATTTAATTGATTTGTCAAACTATTTAATATTAGTTTAAAATTTTTAAAATATCTCGAAAGAATTTATATTAATATATAATATGAAGTTGTTTGAATTATTGGGGCCAAGTTAGTAACAACAACAACAACAAAATCATATTCTCATATGCAATGAGATAAGGGGGAGGTGGGGGCAGTAGGCTGCCCCCAACGCCAGGTTAAGAGTAGCTTCCGTAGAAGACCTCCGGCAGTGAGAAAATAAAAATAAAGATAAAATACAATGCATGTATAAATAAATCAATAAATATATAGTTGAACAGTTTTCATATGCAGTCTTTATATGCGCGTCTGTAATAGGAAGTAATCCCTGCAAATAAATCTCTACATAAAAATCTCTGCTTATAGACAGAAAACGTTAGAAGGATACACAGAAGTCAACGATATCAAGCTACGAGAAGGAGTAAAATAAAATGGATTAAAACCTAAACTAATGCAACACTACTCCGTTACCCTAATTATAAGCCTTCATAAATTCCTATGACATAAACGTATATAAAGTAGAAGTCCTAGAAATTAACTACAAAGACATTAAAAAGAAGACATTACTTGAACTCGAGATTAAAAAATAACAATAATTTATTTAATTAATTTATGCAAAACCTCAAACCTCTTAGAACTTTAAAATTTTGTTCTTTTCGGTAGCTCGACCTTTAAGTCTTTGATGTCATTTAATTTTCTAGTAATTAATTTATGCAAAACCTGAAACCTCTTAGAACTTTCCTCTCAAACCCATGATTTTAATTTTTTTATTCACGAGTATCAAAGTATTTTTTTTTCAAATTCGAATAGTATGAAAATCAAGAAAAGGAAAAAAGTAATATATATCCCGATTCTACGTTGGTCAAATATCGAATATTGTATATCATATCAAGAAAAATCGAAACATTCATATATCCTTTTTTAGTACCAATTATATTGCAAACGACGATTAAATTTGGTCGATTAATAGTAGAAAATAATTTCAAAAATGAGAAAAAAATATAATTAACGTATCAAGTTAATTTCATAAATAAAGACGTCCAAAAATCAACATTTCAGCACTTTTGTTATACAACCGACAACTGGGAGATTCCAAATATACATTTCAAAAGTTAGATGTCAAGATCTGAAAATTTTAAAGTTAAATGACCAAAAAGTAAAAAAAAAATTCAGGGACTAATTGTATCATTTTCTTAAAATGAAATTGAGAGGTAGTTTACTTTTCGTTGGCAAATAAAGCAATGAGAACAGGACATCCGAAGTCAAAAGATTCGGCGTTGTGTCTTAGTCAATTATTAGACGCCGTGGCCACGCGGTTGCTATAGTTAGGGATGTGTTTTCCGAGTCGAATTTAGTGGACTTTTATTCGATTCGATCGGATCGAATTTTTTTTTTTAAAAATTAGATTTCGGTCGAGTTTTTTTAAGGTGAATTAAAGTTGAGTTTGGATTTAAAGTAAAAATTTTGATTTGATTTGGTCTGATGTAATATTTTCTCTTTCTTATAATTCGTGTTTTATGTTAACTATCTATATAGTTTTAGGGATAAATAAAATAAAAAACAAAAAAACAAATCTAATCCCTACTTGTTCCTTGTGTGATGATTTGCTCCTTAAATGCTTCTTAAATGACCAAAACTCCAAAATTGAACGGTTTAACTAAATAAATAAATGGGTAAATTACATGGTTTCATATTGAACTTTATTCTCCCTTCTATTTTACTCACTGAATTTCAGTTTTTTCAATTTTTTACTGAATTTTATAGATTAAATTGAACGACATGACTTTTTTTATTAATATTTTCTTACAATTTGATATATTTTGTTAATACTTTATTATGACATAACATATTTTATTAATATATAATTTCATGTATTATTTTAAATAAAATAGACAATTAAAATCCTTAAAACACAAACCCTAAACGCCGAATCAACCACCCAATGTCCAAGTCAAAAGAAAGCCCCCAGACCTTCCGTTCACCGGCCATTTTCTTTCCGACCGCCCTTCGTCCATCGTTTCTGTTCTTTCCGACAACCCTTGGTTTGTATCTTTATGAAATGAACTCCGTTTTGTTGTCATTTTGATGGTTCGTTTCTCTTCTATTTCTGCTTTAAAAGTTAAACTTGTTCATTTGTTTCTACTTGAATTTCAAAATCTGTGCTTCAATCCTACAATATTAGACCTTTTCTTCAATCCAACAATAATGCCATTTATCTAAAGCTCTTTGTCACATGTGCTTCAAGAGATTTAAGTTTTTAAGCATTAATATTTTGTACTTTTTGTTCATCAGAACCAGGGTTTCAAATAGCGGTCGAATAACGGTGTCGCGGAAGTTATATCGCGATCGCGGAGGTGTCCGAAGCCGCTATCGCGGAAAATAACGGTGTGAAGTGGGATCACACCAATAGCAACGGATCACGGCCAATCGCGGCAATAACAGATCGCGGCAATAGCGGATTGCGGCTCCGCTATTATTCCATTATTTTAATTTAAAAAAATATAGGTTTTTATTAAAAAAATCAGCTTATTCGAAAAAAATTGACGATCGCGATATCCGTAATGACCGCAATAACATCCGTTATATTAGCAACCGTGATAAACACGACGCGGCTTTGAACGCTATTTAAAACCCTGGTCAGAACTGGTAGAAAGATTTTCAAATTCAACTAATAACCAATTCCTTTCTTGCTGCAGTGAGTAAAAAGGTTAAGAAATGTTAGAATGCATATTTTTTTTCTTTAATGAAGTCTAAGCGTCTATTCAACTCGTGTAATTCTTTGTCCATAGTATTTTGTAAAAGCATGTGCTCCAACTCTTTCCCTGGTGCTTCATCAATCTTTTTGGAATCACCTGCTAAATAACCATTATATTCAAGTGGACGGAGGGTGGTCGAAAAGGAAAGAGCCGGTGGACAAAGGGTGGTCAGAAAGGAAAGGAACGATGGATAGAGGATGGTCGGAAAGAGAAGGACCGGTGGTGGACAGAGGGTTTGGGGGCTTTCTTTTGACTTGGATTTTGGGTGGTTGACTTGAGATTTAGGGTTTGTATTTTAAGAATTTAGTTTTTCTTTTTATTTAAAATATTACATGGAATTATATATTAATAAAATATGTTATGTCATAACAAAATATTAAAATATGTCAAGTCATAACAAAATATTAATAAAAAAATCAATCTATAAAGTTTAATGAACAAATTAAAAAAATTAAAAATTCAGTGAATAAAATAGAAGATAGTATTCATCGATATCTTTAGCCAACGTGATACGTAAATTATGGTATTCGACAGATGTCGTCGTTTAGCTTTTCATGTTCGACGGTCCATTTCACCAAGCTGCCTTCCCTCAACTACACGTGAAGGAGAGGGCGATGGGAAATCTAGTTCTTCCTCAAACCCTGAAACATATAAAAAATAAAAGGAAAGGGCCACGACGACGACCAATGAGGAGATGATAAGAGAGAATAAAATAGGGTTAGGGTTTTAAGAACTTTTAGAGATATGAGTTTTTTCTAATATAATTTCAGAAAAAAATGATTTTTTAAATAAATAAATAAATAAAATATTTAAAACAATATAAACGTGACACATGTCATATTTTGAGCGATTGAAAGGTTTTTTAACGACTGTGACATGCCAAGCACTTAAAAAAACAATGTCAAAGCGTTAGACAATTACTTTGAACGAAAAATACTTCATGCACCTAAATTGAGCAAAGAGCGTAGTTTGAACAAGAAATTAGATCCCGGAGAACTCCAATCACCCTCGAGAAGTTTTACGTTCGAAATAAGTCGACTCGACATCTTCGACATTAGGTGAGCTTTGGTTTTGAAAGCATCGAAGAACTTATCAGCTGAGGACTTACCTTAACTTAGCTATCCATCTTCCAAAATTGAGCCATTGTCTCTTCTAGCAATGAAAACTATTACTTGATAACTCACTAAGTGGACTCGTTTGTGAATACTGTCCTTAGGGGAGTGCCTTATATAGGCAACATTTGCGGCAATGACCTTAAATTTTTGTTCCTCTTTTAAGCGTAAGGGGATTAATTTTTGCCGTGGTCCACCGGAATATACATCGGAAGAGAATTTGTAATTTGTCGTGTTCAAAGATAACTCTTAACCATTTGATATTATACGCTCACACTCCTGACATTCCTAGTACTCGAACCCGAGACCTCAATGAATAACAATATTTCGTTTATCATCCAGATCGTTTGGTTCGTGTAATTGACTTTTGTTTCAATAATCAGAAATTAACGTATTTTTATTGAAAATTTTTCGAAAGCTATTTGGTATCTAACAACTCATTATTTTGGGTAAATTACCAATTTGGTATCCCACTTATTGTTCTGTTTCTATTTTGGTCACTCAATTATTATTTTGAACTTTTTATATGTATTTTTTATTGAAAATCTATTTTCGCCCCCTAAAATTTTATAAGTTTAAGTTCGTCCCCTAAAATTTTATTAGTTTAAATTCGTTCCATAGTATAAAATCTTACGTTCGTGATTGCAAATTTCAATAATTAAGTGGGATTGATTCTTGCAGTGGTCCACCAGAATATATATCGGAATAGAATTTGTAATTACCTTTTTTTCAATAATTGAAAATTGGCATCTTTTATTAAAAAATCAAAAGATATTGGTACACAAGAACTCATTAATTTTTTGGTAAACTATCTATTTGGTATCTCACTTATTCCCGTGTCTTTATTTTGATCATCTAACTATTTTTTTAATCAAAATCATACTTGACTTTATATTTTGGTTATAGTTTGATCTCCTTAAATATTTAATTCAAGCCCCAAATTTTTCATCCTTTTTCTTCTTCCTCTGCTTCAATTTCCCAACTATTCATCTTTTTTAGGAAACCAAATTTATTTGACAATAAGAGTTTTTATTTTGATAATTTATATTAGGGTAAACTACACCAGATACCAACGAATTGTAGGCATTGTATCGTTTATACCACTAAACTTTTAATTTTACTAACTATAGAACTGAATTTTGATTTTCGTTTCAATTATACTATTGGGTCGTTAAATAATTAGTAGTCGGATCAAAATGACGTCGTTTTAATGAGTCTTCTATGCCAATAGTCGACAACCATATCGGCATCCATTAACCAAGTCAATGTGCCGTTAACGATTTAACGGTTTAGTGATATAATTGAGATAAAAATCAAAGTTCAATGCTATAATTAGTAAAACTGAAAGTTCAGTGATATAAACGATACAACGCCTAAAATTGGATGGTAGATGATGTAACTTACCTTCCATATTATTTAATTACGAACGAGACATATAATCAATTTATTGATATATGTCTTTTTATTTTTAATTACTTGTTTAGGCATTGAGAAGGTAATCATCAACATCTTTAGCCCATGCAGTGTGAAAATCGCAGTACTCGACGGGCTCCGGGACGTCGTCGTTTTTCTTTTCGTACTCGAAGGTCCATTTCACCAAGCTGCCCTCCCCCTTGGGTGTGACACTAAGGATGGTTTTCCATGAATTGTAAGAATTCTTGATTTCACCATCGAGTAATTTGTAAACCATTGTCCTGTTTTTTTCATCCACGCTCTCTCGAAGTTCCTTAGCCACAATTGTACTGTTTTTTTCATCCACGTTCTCTTGAAGTTGCTTATCTAGAAGACAGCAACAGAGAAATGCCATTAGAAGAAATCATTGTAATCCATATATATAACGCTTAATTAAAAAAATATGTAGTACTCAAATTACACCCTTTTCTCACTTTAAGGGCTTAAAGTATATTTCGCTCAATGTAGATACCTAATGTTTTTAACTTTAACATTTTAAGTGTCTGGTTCATCACATCCTTGAAAAAAATCGTCAATCACTCACATATTATAAACAAAAGTAAAGGGCGACGATGTCGGTAAGGGAGAATGGAATTAGGGTTAGGGATTTTAGGAATTTTTAGGGTTTTGAGTTTTTTAAAATAAAATATTCAAAAAAATATAAACACGACACTTATCGCACTTTGAGCAATTGATACCTTTTTAAACGATTGTGGCAATCCAAACACATAGAAAAGTAACATCAAAATGTTAGACAGTTACTTTGAGCGGAAAATACTTTATGAACCTAAAATGAGCAAATAGTATAATTTGGAAACTTATTTTTTTTCATTAAGCCTATATAAAACAAGAAAAAATAAGAAAGGATGAATTACCGCCGGCAACAACATAATGCCATAACCGGACCGACCCCGGAGAATTCCATTCGCCCTCGAGAAGTTTTATATCCGAAATAAGTCGACTCGACATCTTTGGCATTAGGTGAGCTTTGGTGTTGAAAGCATCAAAGATTTTTTCAGCTGAGGACTTGACCTCAACTTGGCAATCCATCTTCCTAATTTGAGCCATTGTCTCTTCTAGCAATGAAAACTATTACTTGATAACTCAATGAGTGGACTCGGGGGTAAATGTTGTCCATAGGGGAGTGCCTTATATAGGCAAACATTTGGGGCAATGGCCTTACTTTTATTCATCTTTTAGCCTAGTGGGATGGATTCTCGCAATGGTCCAACGGAATATATATCAGAATAGAGTTTGTAGTTGCCTTTTGTTTCAATAATTGAAAATTGGCATCTTTTTATTGGGAAAAAATCAAAATTTATTTGGTACTGATATCTCATTTATTCTCGTATTTTTATTTTGATCATGTAACTATTTTTTCATCCAAAAGCATACTTACTTTTTGTTTTGTTTCTATTTTAATCACGGAGCACTAAAAAATTAATAAAACTCATGATTTTGTATGATATAATAACAATTTTAGTCTATATTATTCGAAGAAGATTGTGTGCAATGGACTATATCGTCAGTAATAATATCCTAGGATAAATTACACCGTTCCTCACATAACTATACTCTCTCTCCTATTTTTCTCACCCAACTTTTAATTTGATCATTTTGCTCATTGAATTTTACAATCGAATCATTTTGCTCACTCGATCGTTTTTTGTCTAATAGCTACGTCGACACCCATTTTCGTCCCGACATTATTATTATTAATTTGTGCAGGCCTATGCAACCAGCACAAAATTGAGCCCAATAACAGAGGGTCATTCGGCCCAAACCTGGAGCCTAACAGAACCAAACCCAGACATAACCCACACATCTAGGGTTTCCTCATGTTCCTGGCGCCTCACGATCATAGTCGTTGGATCTGGGAGAGATCCAACAGCCCAGATTAATCACGAACTAGGGTTTTACCCTTAGCTCTAGCCGTCACTCGTCATGGATCGTCGGATCTGGACCCCATCCAACGGTCCAAATCACTCCTGACTAGGTTTGTACCCTAGCCCCGCCACCACTGGTTCTACCAACCACGCGTCAGTAGCTCCAACACGCCACTGCAACCTCCGCAACAAGCCATCACAAATACCAAAGTTGTAATGATTTCATTTGTTTTGAAAGAAGAAAAATATGTATACATTAGGGGTTATAAAACCCGAAAAAAAAATGTAAAGAGAAGGGTTATCCCTTTGGTTTTCAGAAGTAATAAAAAAAATAAAACTTCAAGGTATTTCTTTTTTTTTCTTCCGATTTCGAAACAAAAAGCATATTAAAATAAAAAACCTAGATTTGCATGAAACAAAAAACTAGAATAGGAAGGGTAGATCCACGATTACCTCAAATAGGGGAGTCAAACCGGAGGATCGATTCGTCTTTGCAACGGCTGGAGCGTGAGAGAACCGAGGGGTCGAGATCTTTTTGGGGTCATTTTAGGTGGTTTTAGCCCTAGATCTAGGTTTAGGTGGGTATATCGGACTGAGAGAAATATTTTACTCAGTTTAGGGTTTTTAACCATCGTGTGTGGTGATTGGAATGGCGGCCGGACGATGATTGGGGTCTTGGTGAGGCAGCCGACAGTGGGTCGGCCGAAGAAAATAAGAGAGAGAGGAGAGATTTTAGGTTTTTTTGAACATTCGATAAAATGAAAAAAAAAACAGAAAAATTGGATTTATAGAAAAACTTTAGGGTAAAATCACGTTTAGGTCCCCTTAACTCTTGCACGTTTTTGCATGTTAGTTATCTGTAGGGACCAAATCTGCTATTTACTCGTTTCTTATGTATGTTATATATATTTGGTATAATTATTGTTTAGTCCCCCATAGTTTAGCGTGTTTTTGCATGTTGGTCACTTGTAGGGACTGAAATTGTTGTTTACCTGTTTCTTATGCATATTGTATATTTTTGGGTTATTTATTGTTTAGTCCCCTATTTAGACATGTTTTTACATTTTGGTCATGTGTAGTGATGATTTATTTATTTTTAAATATTTATGGACTGATGTAGTAATTTACCTATTTTTCTTTCAAAGCATGTTTTAATCTAGAAAAATGAATAATTATGAAATGGTCCATGTAGTTTCAACATGTTTGTATTTTGGCTTTCGATCTATTTTTTTATTTATTTTAATTTAACCATGCAGTTTTATTTTATTTTAATTTGGCCCCCATGTTTTATTTATTTTTATCTTTTTTAATTTTAACACTTAATATTAAAAATGTTCATTTTATTCACTTTTGTATTTTATTTTGTTTTAATTTTTGACATGATGATTTTTTTTATTTTAGTCATATTTGCATGTTGTTATATTTTAATTTTTGCATGACACTTTTATGTTATTTCATTTTAGTCCCTAATTATTTTTGTTCTCTATTTATTTGCATGATACCCTCATAAGCATTTCTTGACTCGAATCAAAATAATTTGACTAAGGGTAATATTCGTTCATTTTAATATTATCGTAAAGTGATTGTCTTAACGTATAAGAAAATTACTTTCGATAGTTTTAAAATGAAAGTCTATCACATTAAGTGACATAAATTAAATTAAATCCATTTTAAAATTGGTAGATTGATAAAAAGATCATGTTCTTTTAAATAAGTTCACCGAGAAAAGACTATTAGATTGGATCTAAGGTCTCGTCTTGATGTATTTAAATAATTGAACATCCTTAATCTCATTAAATGTTGGTAAAATATAATTAACTACCCAAATATAATATACACACTACATGGATATTTATATAATTAACTACCCAAATATAATTAAATAGCCCAACCCAACAATTCGAACTAATTAAATATATACAAACACAAACGAAAACTCGAAGGGGAAAATCTCAGACAAAATGATCATTTACAGACTTTGGCGGCTAGTACTGCTGAGGTGGATGTGGCCTCGATTGATAAGCTTGATTTGGTCTCAGATTCTGCCCATAGTTAAAATTCAGATGATCTCGCCGCCCCAAATTATAGGTATCAGCGTAAGGATTGTGAGGTCTCTAGGGAGGTCTCGGAGAATTTCCCATTGTATCCACATAAGTCGTAGTATCTTCTTGAAGCATTGGACAATAGTTTATGGGATAATCCGACATCGTGTAGATTCTACACAACCCTTCCAGTCTAATTTTATCTGCAATGAGAGATTGAACCACATTAGTTACCTTATCAATTTTTATCCTCTAGAGAATGAGTACTTATCTCATGAACCCATCCTAAGGGTTCACTGGATGGGAAAAATTATTGAGAGTTAGCATCCATAGTAAATATCATATTTCTAACTGCGCCGGGAGTCATGTTGATGAGAACTCATCCACTTGCTGAGCCAATCATCTTCATCTCCATAGGAAGTAAGCCTTCATAGAAGTACTGGAGAAGATTTTGTTCATTTAATTTGTGCTTCGAGCAGCTAGCATATAGCTTCTTGAACCATTCCCAATAATCATATAGTACATCGTTATCTTTCAAGCAAACTCCTAAGATGCTTCTCCTTAATTCGCTTGCTTTCGCCGTAGGAAAGAACTTGTTAAGAAAAAGTTGAGTTATATCAGTCCACGTAGTAACAAAATTTAGTGTTAAATAAAAATAAACAATCCTTAGCCGATTGGCTAAGGAAAACGGGAAAACACAAAGTTTAATCTGATCCTCAGATGCTCCCTATGGTTTCATGTTAGAGCAAACCATGTGAAATTCAATGAGATACTTATGCGAATTTTCACTTGATAATCTGTGGAAGGTAGGGAAAAGATGAATTAACCCTGTCTTAAGCTCAAACGATGTTTCTTCATGAGGGAATGTGATGCATAACGGTGTTGGTTCGGCAGAAACCAAAGCTAATTCTCATATTATTGGTTGATTCATTGAAATTGGTTTTTTGAAGTCATCTTTGGCGTTAGAGAAGGTTTCTGAGTCAAAGGGTATCTCCGGATTAAGTTTGGGTTGTTGTGATTGTTGTTGTTGTCGCCTTTCTCGTAGTGTACGTGCGCGTATTCTTCGGGATAGTACTTCGATCTCAGGTACCCAATCTACTAGTTCGCCTAGATTTTTCCTGATCATAAATCAAAACAAGAAACAATATTAGTAAATTTATCGAAGTCCCCGGCAACGACACCAATTTGACAAGCGTCGAATTTGCCAAATAAAAATAATTCATAATTCTTAAATAAATAAATAAATTAATACAGAGAAGTATGGTCGATCCACAGAGATTGAAGAAGTTTGATAATGTTGTTACTCGGATTGAATAAACTATAAGAAAATAAAAAAGGGATTTAAAATTAATGAAAATAAATAAATAAATAATGAATAAAAATAATAATGAGAAAATAAATAAAGTAGAAGAATTCAATAAATATGATATAGCCTTAGGTTTTGCTTAGCCTCAATTTCGATCGATCCATCAAAATAAAAATTTTCCCTTTGTGATGTATGTCGGTTAATGTCAACAAGGCCCAAAACCTGCAGCTAACTCTTCTCTCTGGTTAATCGAAATTTCCAAGTCTATCTCTGAAATCCGATCTTTGTTGGTCTAGCCATGTCTATCGCCATTAGATCCAAAGTAACTTTAAATTCTGAAAAAGCCCGACTCGAGTTATATCATCTCACCGAGAATTGAACTCGATCTTGATTCCCCTTAACAGACCGTCGCTAAGTTTGTTCACAGAAAGCCGAATTACGACCAACCGATCCAACTTCCAAACTTCAAGCAAAACAGTCTTCAAATCAACGTGCACCTTTTGAGTTAAAGATGTAATAACTTTTAAGAAAATGACAGATAGCAACTCCTAATTTTTCAAGAATACGATTTGAATGTATGAAGATCAAGATTCAATTCTCAAGAATGGAATTAAGTTTCGCAAAAACCTTTGGCTAAGTAGAAGTTTAGCCAAACATGGATTGAATCATGCTTAGCATTGTGAAAAGAAAATAATGGAAGAAAACAAAGAAAGAAAGATGGAGATGAAAGAAAAGTAGAACTTCAATAAATAACCAAGGAAAATAAATTATAATCTTAGGGGTTGTTTGTTTGCCTCTTAATGGAACCATTTAGCGTTGAATGCTGAACCGTTCATCATTCAGCGCGTTTGTTTCTCACATCTGAATGATTCAGTGCT